ATGCCTAGTTTTTGGCTTCAATTTTCATTAAAACGTCCTCGTTACTAACATGTTCATGATATTATGATATCACCCATCTGTTTCTGGCCGACGGACAGTGCAGACGTTGTGCATACAAGTTACTTAAAATATGAAAACTAAAAACAAAAAATAAAATAATCAAAAAATCTAAATCAATAAATAAGTAACCAAAACAAGTAAAATTATAAACAAATTAAAAAACTATGAATGCTCATATATATATATATATATATATATATATATATATATATATATATATATATAAATATAATATTCCAAACACTAATATTCCATGGTTATAATTTATTACATTGGAATTGAATTTGTAAGGTCTGATAATTTGGATCGTGATTACGATTCCAATGTAATAAATTATAAACATGGAATATTAGTGTTTGAGTCTTTTTATTATATTCTTACTCTGTCCCGGACAGAGTAAGAATTCTACCTGGATTCTATCCTCTTGGGAATTTATATTGACCACTAATATTATCTATCTATCTATCTATCTATCGCTGGCCACTCGTATTCGAGGATACGTGTCTACTAAGTTGGCTCTCCAATCCCTATCGCAGACGCTTGCTCAGGCGCATTTGTGTTTGTTCAACACCCACCGAACCTACCTATGGTTTATACTGCAACTATGCTGAGTAGACCTTAGTTACAGTTTCTGGGAAAGAGCTTGTTATCTAGGATGATCAAACCCTCGAACAAGGGTTCCGTCTACCCAATTTAACTCCCAAGGCTTGGGCTAACCCGTGATATGGTTTTCAGGCACTTTCCAAAGAGCCTGAAAACTATACCACGGTCCGATAACATCAGGAAGTTTCCTTCCTGAAAAACTACCATGGTGTGATTCGAACCCGGGTCTCATGGTCAGAATTCTAACCACTCGACTCATATACAAATGTTCACATAAACACAAATAAATGTAATAATATTCAACAGCAAATAATAAAGTAATCAATAATAAATAATGAGTAAAAAATGTTAACAAACAACATTATAAAATAAGCGCAAATAAGTACATTGGAATTCACAATTCTTTCTGCTCAAATAAGCTCTAGCATAATTTGAAATATAACAATTGATGTCTACCCAATAACGGTTAGGATGATACAATAGACCTTGCTACCCATAATGCACCATTGACCAGCATATATAAAGAGTCGAGCCAAAACACAACACACATTGGCCTGAAGATTTCGTCCAGAAGAAAAGGGTAAACGTATGCGCTTCATCTGTTTTTTTATCGTCATTATAATGGCAAGGAAAACTTTGCACTGCGCTATAATTATTCCGAAGATCATTGCTAATCTCATAAGTTTGGTACTTGATGAAAATCCGCTGTTCTTGGCCTTATGCCAGACACGTATTCACAGAATAAATTTTGCTTGTAAATTTTGAAAAAATTATAGTAATGTTATGAAATTAGTAGTATTATCTTTATTTTATGAGGGCGTACTGAAAAGTTCTCAGCCTGACATACTTCCCGAAATCAGTATTTCCCTCACTCCATAGGATATTGATTTTCAAAAATAGATCAGGGTAATATCTTTTCAGCACCCCCTGTTTTTTTCTTTTTCTTTTATTTAAATGAAGCATTGTCAACCATTAGAATCACTTATTTTTAATAATATTTCCTTTCATCTTAATTCTTATTGCAAACTAAAGACTTTCTTATTTATTTAACATCCAGCGTTGTCTTCCTATCGTAAGTTGTGGAATTGGGATGAGAACTTTTCAACATCACTTCGGAGACAAAAATTAATAATAATAGTATGGAGGTTGTTGCCTGTTAACCGTATAGACTCCTTTGCCACTGTGTTTTCGTATCAAATAGGATTTTACGAAGTGAAGCCTCACATGCGACTGGTTTGAATTCAGAGTTGCCATTCTTCCAGATTGGTTACCAAAGAAAATAATGATTCACAGAATATATCGTTTATTTATATCGTTTTATTTATGGGATTTACACGCGCTTTCAAGTCGAAACCGATATAATGATGATGACATAAATCTACTTGGTTTATGCCTTTTTATTTTCTTGGATTTTTTTTTCAGCCCAGTCTTTAAAATTAATGACTGCTCGCAGCAAAATCAAATAATAAATATAACTCATTTTTCCTTTTTTGACTTTCACATAAATATCACTTTAATAATAAACTTCATCTTTCCTACGATGGAATCAACAGCCAAGTGTCCGTCAATCAAACTAGCCTTGAGAATCGAGGGTATCATCAGTAGTCTGATCCGGAGAGGGAGAGGCTCTGCCAGGTTTATTTACCTAAGACACGCAACGCATGAATGAATACCTCTTCGGCTTTCAGCACAGATATGTGGAGGAAACCATGGGATAAAAACTCTGAACTGAAATAATATTTGTTTTAATCAATTTACCCCCATGCAATTCGATAATGCCACAAAGACGAAAGAGGGCATTGGGAGCAAAAGAGAATGAAGACAAACAGAGAGAGGGAGAGAGGGGGGTAGAGCAAGAGAGAGAGAGAGAGAGAGAGAGAAAGAGAGAGGACGAAGAAAGTAGTGTTTTACACAAAAATATCGTTAACCATCAAAAGAATAATGCAGACTTGTTTTGAAAATATTTCTCTTGATTCGGTATGTCAGCCATTACTGACGGATGCATGCAACTGATAATGAAAAGATTTTCCATTTACAGAACAGACGTGCTAAAAGGTATAATGCCTCAATGAATGTCGCCCAGAGAATAGCAGTAATGTTCGATGTTTGAGTGATATTTTTCAGAGAAAACGGAAATAAAAGGCAGAGTTAATTTATAGTAAACTCGAGGCAGCTGACGAAGAGACGGGCATCGAATCTAATCGACGAATAAATATAAGCTGGCATTTTTTAAAGCATTCCACCTCAAGGGGGGAGTGCCACTATCATGCAAGATGTTACAAAGAGTGAGAGCAAGAGTAAAGAGACATGATAGAGGAAAGGATGAAGAGAAGTATAGGGAATGAGATGAAGGCATCTGAAGATGTCGATTGACATTGCATTTGAATAATTGAAGATTATAGCTATCAGGGAATTAAGAGGAAGGTAGTTCCACAGACAGGAAATAATAGAGATGAAGCTATTGGAGTAGAAGAGACGGTTACATTTAACCGTTTCGACAGTTGGAAAAGTGGGACTGAGATGCCAACTTAGTAGCACGTTTAAATTCATGCAGTTTGGGAACCAGCGAAAGTAGCTCGTCGGAGCATACTAAACAATAATGTGCACCGAATCACTGTTTGGTATGTTGACTGCTCGGCAGCGGACATGAGAGCCCTCCAAATGATTACAGATGTTGCCTAGAAAATAATCGGCTGCTCGGTGCTCTCCTTGGAGGACATTTCAAATTCTGGCTGTCGCAGCCGTGCAGAAATCATAATGAAAGACAGCATTCATCCCGGGTACCAAATGTTCGAAATGTTCTGGAAAACACCATCCTCCCTATTGCCTATTGTGGACTCACTATATCAGTAAATATATATAGTGTGCACAAGATATACCTGGTGGCTTGCTCCGGCAATGAGTTGGAGATTCGTCTCCAGCTAAGCTAGTCGAAGTCTCTGCCTTCGGGCGGAGAGGAACCCAGACGAGGCTATGCCGAAGGGCAGAGTCTCGTTTTGGATGTTAGACAGCTACCCAATTCCGTTTGTTTACGGGGTCTACGGGGAATTTTTGCCCGAGCCTACGGGCTCGGATACCCCACGTTAAATTCGGCGTTGTGCTACATCTGACCGCGTGGGGCGGTTGGCAAATATCCTTGCTTCAGCAATTAGTTGGAGATTAGTCTCCAGCTAAGCTACTCGAACTCTCTGCCTTCGGGTAGAGAGGAACCCAGACGAGGCTATGCCTTGTGCCACATCCTGCCTCGCAGAGAGGTGAGGTAAATAACCTTGCTTCGGCAATTAGTTGGAGATTCGTTGGAGATTCTCCAACGATGCTAGTCGAACTCTTCAGGCAGAGAGGAACCCAGATGAGGCTAAGCCGAAGGTCAGAGTCTCGTTTGGGGTGGTAGACGTTTTTTTACGGGATATACGGGGAATTTTTGCCCGAGCCTACGGGCTCGGTTTTAACCCCATAGTAAAAACGGCCTTCTGTCACATCCTGCTTTCCTGGGGTGGCAAGGTAAATAACTTTGCTTCGGGAATTGCTTGCCTGCTAACCGACTCCCTGTCTTTCAGTAGTGTATTCTCTTTTACAATAAATCTCTCTTTGATCTACGCCTGTGTTGTTCCTTTCACTCGAGTACCACCTTTGTCTGTTTGTAACCCTTTTAAGGATACAACACAAATAACTAGGAAGAAAAAAGATAGATTCATACTTTTTGCAATGGACTCTGTTCGAATTTGAACTTGGCACGTCAATCTTACAGCCTACTACGCTCCCATTTCAATAACGAAATAGAATTTGTTGGAATTGTAGAAATGTTACATGCGTTAATAGCAATTGATATGAATATATTGATATTTATGAAGCTTAGCTTAATAAATCTAGAGTCATTATGAAACTTCAGTAGGCTATTTAGGGTGAAACAAGAGTAGAAAGACTATATACTTTAAAAAAAATCAAAACTCTTTTTTTTATGTAAGCTTCGTAACGAACTGAAATATTTTTTCGTCTACCATAACAATATTGAATAAGTTTAGCCTAGATTAATACAAGACCAAATGAGCGTAGAAATAATATCCTGTTGCACAGATTATTGTCTTCATATTAGAAATATGTAGAAGCGTGTTTATTATGGTTTGCTTAGCTGTTTTAAAAGACAAGCCATTCTTGTGTTTTGAAGCAAAATATGGAAATGTCATCAATACTTAGCCATTATTATTCTACCAATAGAGACACAAGGCCACAAATGGAGCATCCATTGGAAATTCAATTAACAAACCATAGAGACTGGCACAAAATCACGGTTGTAGGATTTGAATACAGAACTCCAGTAAGACATTAAATATACTCACAGTGGGCAACGGGTTCAAATCGGGAGCCACATTTCACGTTTAGATATTCTCTGCAACGCATCTGGAACTCATCAAAAAGTTGAGGATAAGGACATTCAACAGTGAACGGTTCATGTTTCTCCCAATCTGCTTGATTTGCATCTAGACTACAATTGTAATACCAATGACACTGGGTTGGATGCGGCAAAATTCCCGTGCGGCCAGAACATGGGTGACCTGCATATGGAATAAACATAAAAATAAAAAAAAGATTAGATATAATTTTCATTGCATTTATTGCATGTGCATAAAAGATTTTAAAATAAATAATGTAAATATTTTATGAGGTTTAAAACGAAAACGGGGATTTTTTTGTTATATAAAAAAGAATGACTAAAAACACTTATTGATAATGTTATCCTATATAAAACGCCTAGAGTGAGATGAGGTCATAAATATAGGCTCATCCTGTTTGCAAAAATGAATACTTAATCGGTCCACTGATTATATTTTCTTCCTTGACTCTCCTGAATACATAAGCAGTTCTAAACAGTGCAATTTTGTTAATCTCTCGTAAATAGGGGCTACAACAGATTTTGTTAATATTATTGTTATTTTCTTTTCTTTTGATTTCTGTTGCATACATCTGGATCCCAACCAGAGAAATAAGGTTAGAAATGGCACCATGACATTTTCCACTGAACATTTTCGTAAAAAAGACTCTTAACATCACACATATTTTGCCTAAATAAAGCCCGTCGTAAAGTGTGAGCTGTACTTTTGAGTACAATTTTTTGTATTTTTTAAGGCTTGGGCGACCCAGGGATCCCTTCAATGAGTCTATAACAACCTTTTCTAATCAAACCGAAAGCTCCAATACACGTGCCACATTTCCATTTCAAGGTCCTTGTACTTTGATAGTTTTTTTGAAGAGCTTCAAAGATATTATTATTATTATTATTTCATTTCCGTTGATTTAGATGTGTACTCATTTCTAATCATTTCTTTCCGGGTCCCGACCAGAGACCTAAGTTCAGAAATGGCGTCATGACATTTTCCAATGAGCAATTGAAAAAAAAAACCCCAAAAAACAACATACATATTTTACATAGATAAAGCCTTTCGTAAGGTATTGACTGTACTCATGAGAACATCTTTTTTGTATTTCTTTAAGTTATGGGCTACCAGGAATCCTTTCAATAAGTCATAGCTGGTCTTGGCTTATAGCTGGTCCAAACTAGCTAGCCGTGATACCACCAGCACAGGGACGGAGCCCTGGGGCAGGAAAGTATCTACTCAAACTTTGTTTTGACGCCTAAATTAATCGTTTAAATTTTGACAAAAATCTTTCAAAGCAAATTCGAGTTATTGAGGTTTATGTGATTTGCATAATAACTTCAGACGAACTGTAGGTATAGCAGTAGTTTAAAGGTGTTATATTTTTTATTTCAGTTTCAAGATCCTTATATTTACTTATTTTATCATATTCTTCAGTAGATATATTTTTATCTGATGACTCTGTCATATCTATAAAATAGTATTTTTTGTTTGCAGTTTTCAATCACTATGTCTATTAGCTTTTATATATCAGTCATTATTAATAGTAATGTCCCAAAGAATAGTAACTTCATGGACTCCTATAACTGAAACAGTTATAGGAGACCATTTTTCAAAATGTAGCACACTATAATATTGATATATCTTCCAATGAATATACCCTAATTCTCCATGTATAATGCGCATTTTTTTTAAAATCATAAGCTAAATTAAGGGTGCGTATTATACACAACTACAAAAAATCTTTAAAATATTGCCTTTTCATAGATCGATTTCAGTTGCCAAATGACTACTCACCCACAAACATACAACAATTTGACACTAACATTCGGCGATTGCGACCCCATAAGTATGTCAAATACAATCATATGTACCTAACAATACTTACAAATGTAAAATGAAATAAGAATTATCATAAAACTAAATTAGAATTATATTATTCTATGTTTAAAACCATTTTTCTAAAATAAGAGTAGGAAACGCTGGCTGTAATGAAATTGGAGAGGTACAATTTATAGGGTTTGATTACCAAACAATGGGTGCGTATTATACGTGAGTAGAAGCATTTCCTCACACTTTCAGCACAATTTTAGGGTTGCATATTATGAATGAATGAGTATTATACATGGGGAATTACGGTACTTCCTAATCTTATCATGTCAGTTTTTATATTTCTTTGGTGTCAAAATAGGACAACCAAACACTAAATGGTCAAAAGTCTCAACATGTTCACATAATCTACATACTGAGTGTGCACTATTTTTATTATGCTTGCCCGGTAATTCTTAGTGAATAGGTTTTAGTCAAGTGCAACCAGTATAAATGCTTCTGTCTCTGTTTTTAGGTCCTGTAATCTTCAACCACTGATGTTTTTTTTTAATTTATTTACATCTGCATATCTATTTCTGTGTTTATTGGGCATCTAGATATTTTTGTCCACAAATGTCTTTAAATATACTGCCTAATCTTATCATGTTAGTCTTTATATTCCTTTGGTATCAACATTGGACAACCAAACACTAAACGGTCAATAGTCTCAATATGCTATTCACATTATCATCTTCGTCCTGTGTATGACGATAAACTACATCCAGCAGCAAGGCCTCTGATCGGGAGGTTTAAAGGAGCGTGGAACTATCTCATAATTGCTGTTGTTCCCAGGTCCACCCTGACTCGGGGTGGTAGCACCTGTTAGGGTCCCAGCTATGGGAAAATAGTGAATCCCCAAAATAGCGTCAAAACACTATGAAAGCATAAAAATACATTTTTTTAGTAAAAATACCAGCAATACATTTTTGAAAAAAAAAATAATAGTAAACATTTGACTCTCGGCAAAAACACCTTTTACAAAAATACGCCAATGAAACCTGATCTCCTACAAACTGATTTCTTACAAAGAATATATATTTTATTCATACGAAACTATACTAAAAATTGTCGGCATTAAATAAGCCATTGAGGTTGATATGCCGTAAAACAAAATAAACCAAACCAAACCATAATCTTCTTCTTCTTCTTCTTCGTATTATTATTATTATTATTATTATTAATATTATTAAAGATTTATATCCTACTCACTTGAATGATTTTTTCAAGTTGATCAACATTTCAAGCTGTTATGTTTTCATGTTATTGTTTCTCCTTGTTCAAAAACTTGATGACTATAGTTAATACAATTACCAATGAAGAAATACCAAAAAAAAAAAAAATACAAAAAAAAATTGTACTCTGAAGTACAGCTTACACTTTACGAAGGGCTTTATCGATGTAAAATGTGTGTGATGCTCAATGGAAAATGTCATGAAACCATTTTTGACCTTCGGTCTCTGGTTGGTTCCCGGAAGGAAATGAGTATTCAACAGAAATCAAAGGAAATAATAATAATAATAATAATAATAATAATAATAATAATAATTATTATTATTATTATTATTATTATTATTTAGGATTGAAGTTGCCAGAAGGTGGGACTTTCTCTCCCCTATTGCTCCAGTTATCATTGAGGCGTTGGGGTACATTCCATCGAACTTAAAGAAAGAAGTTAATAAAAAGTAAAAAGCTTCAATTCTGCGTTCAAATTACTTAACACGTCTCCCTTTACAAACAATATTCTGAAATGTGCAGGATGGATCGATTATTAAAACCGGAAGTCAACGTAATGACGTCAGAAACAAGTTCAAAAATATTGGAATGCATTGTCCGATTAGATGCACTGATTTTCGATGGCTAATCGGATGCAAGGCGAAAAACAAATCCCAGTATCCACATTTGAGGGCCGCCATCTTTGCTTTGTAATGAGCTAATTGTTGACTCAGGGGATGTCGTTAAATTTACATTTTACTCTCCGTTGAGAAAGAGACGAGATGCGAATTGTGACGATGGGGTGAAAAGAAGGGAGATCCTATAAATACGGTCGTTCAAGTGAGGGTGACGAGTGGACAATGAGGTTGGTGAATATAACTGAATTCCAGAGAGAGGGATAGAGAGAGAGAGAGAGAGAGGGGGGGCGAGGGAGAGAGAACGGAGGGGTTGCAGACACATCTTAATAGGTGCGACTGTCAGAAACAAATATAAAATTCTCAAGTGCCCGGAGATTTGGTTTGATGAGTGCAAGAACTCAGTGTCATTCTTAACTGTTCAACCTAAGTAACTTTCCTTTTTTTAATTACTATTGACATGGTTTAAAGAAAGAATCTTAAGGGTCGGTTTCAACAACAAGTCAAAGAAGTGTACATATATGCGATGTATGTAGAAAGGGTCTTAGCACGACTAAAAAGGGATTTGAAAAATTCTATGATGAGTGGCCATTTCGACAGATTTTGATGAAGTGGACTTGAATCAGAAAAGGAAACTGGTATTAAAAAGTTCTCAATACACGTGTGAAAAACATAAAAGTAAAAGTAAAAATAAAATGTAAAGCTTTTAACTTTCAAAATCAGGAGGTCAGTTGAATTCGCTACCTTGGTTTCAACCTTATGGTCTCCTCAGGCGATTTTTATCAAATGACCTCTTAACGCATTATTTTTTAAAAAAATCTAATGAACGCTATATTATTTTTTTAAATAAATAAACAGACGCACGACGTTGGGTGGAATAGAATGCGAGGAGGAGGATGTTAAGAAGGAAGGAAAAGAAGAAGAAGAAGAAGAAGAAGAAGAAGAAGAAGAAGAAGAAGGGGGAAGAGAAGAAAAGGGAGGGTATTATAAATGTATCGGTTTGGGCCAATTGAAATTTACATAGCTTTTTATCCAGCCTCATATGTGCTTAAGATGAACTTCTTAATATGTATGCAAGAACTCAAGTCTTCGAATTTCTGCTTTAAAAGGTTCTTTTGATCCGGAAATGTCACAATTGCTAATTTTTCCTGTTGGCCGAGGTTGCAAATATTGTTGTGTTTGCTGTAAGGCTTCGCGTTTTTTAAAATTTTCCATCTTACAATAGGATTCCTGTTGTTTTTTCTTTTAAATTTCACACATGGTCAGCAATTTTGGCAGATCACCTGAGCGTTAAGAGGCCATTTGATAAAAATCACCTGAGGATAACCTAAGGTTGAAACCAACGTAGCGGATTCAACTAACCTCTTCGAGAAGACGAAATCATTTAATTTTGGGTGCTTGGCATAGAATGATGATTATCAAGTCAATCTTGCTCGAGTATTTGCTGTTGTAATGAATTCTATCCTCGCAGGGTTTCTGTCATTGTGACCCTGTGTCAGACTTAGTAAATATCCATAAGAGATATTTAATCATTGTCTTAAAAACAAATATAAATTTCAGAGCGTCAAAAAATTCCTGCTTTAAAAGAAAAAGAAAGGAAGTATTCGTGTATACGAAAACCTATATTTTCTTTAAAATGTCTACTCTTCCGAATGTAAGCAATGAGACTCTCCACAAGTTCCTTTTTCTTTATTATCTATGAATTTCCATGCATTCTTGGGAACGATGGTGACGTCAATTCTCGTTACCTTTTCCCCAGTTTGAAATTCAGAGTTTTCCTTCTCTTAGTTTGGTTGCCATCCAAGGCTAGAAAAAGTCCAAGATACTACTATTTAACCTTTAGCTCGGGGAGCTTATATTAGTGATTATTAAAGCCTTAACTAATTCTCTTGGACTAGTTGCTACCCAAGGATTGGGAGATCAGTCTACTCTACCATTTAACCCATACCTGGGGAAGAAGACATGCCTTTCACAAGGGCTTTAGTGCGAAAATGAACGAACTATCCTCGCCTTCTTGCTTATATCTGTAATGCCAGCAGAATCTCCTTTTGATGGTAGCTTAGTGTGGCTTAAAAAAAATCAACCTACAATTTTTTTCCCTCTATTCAGTATTTTCTGCTAATCTTTAATACAGTAAATGATAATGGTTAAATAGCCATTTAGTTATACGGAAACATTCAACATTCATTAATCGAGTAACCAGTGTTCTTTTTAGCATTGATAGGGATTTCCTTCCTAACCTTTTGATTAAGGTGCTGGGGAAAATCAGCATCTTCTTTTTATGCCATTATTTTCTGTTCGAGTTACATGTGCTATCCATTTTAGTTGTTGCTGCTGTTGAAAGTCTTCAAGTGATGTGGTTTTTGTAATTTAGTATTCATTACAGTCAACCTACGAAATCAAATAAAAGACTGTCCTCTTAAAGACCTACAGAATTTATTTACTTGCTGACATCTTTAATCATTGATCTGAGCAAAAGGTTGTATTTAGCTGATAGTTTAGACACTTCTGAACGAGTCCTGCATGATTTCCATTTAAGAGTCGAGATCTGATGAGGCTATTTGGTAACATGACTTGAGTTCCAAGGTTAATGCTTTGTTTTTATAGCATTTTAAGTTCAGAAAATTGTTTTCCGCTAATCATGAAAGTGGAAAAGTTTTAGTTATCATAAAATAAGCATTCGAAAATAATTCAACTCTCTGTCTATATCTTTAAGATAAGGTATTATGATTACTTGCATTATTTACATTATTCGGGCGGTTATCCTCATGTTCATTGCCATATTCACAATGTTTTGCCCGGTGATTGGAATTTCGAACCGAACCGTTTATTTTGTCCACCGGGGTAGATTTCCTACTTCCACGTGCCATGCCTCTTGCGGATGTCTCAGTTATCTCCCTTTAACTCAACTCTCCAAGTTTTTGCTGTGGTAACATGGCCCAGTGGATAAAGACGTTGGTTAGATCCAGTGACTAAACCCAATGAGTTGTGAGTTCAATACCAGGCCAAGCAAACTTGGAGAGTTGAGTTAAAGGGAAATAACTGAAACGTTCGGAAGAGGCATGACACGTGGAACAAGAACAATCTACCCCGGTGGACGAAATAAAGGGTTCAGTTAAAAATTCCAATCACCTGAAGAAGTTCGGAGTGTACAACGGCTGAAATGCTGTGAATATGGCAATGAAAATGAGGATAACAGTCCGATGCAAGAAAAAATACAACTATTTCGTCCACCAAGAGTACCCTGAAAACTGTAAATATTTAAAAAAAAAAAAAAAAAAGAAATACTCACCGATTTTGGGCACAGTTGATGAAAAGGACTTTTTCCGCATTTCAGATGTAGAAGATGGTATATTTGAGTGCGTGCTTCTTTGAGAAATTGTGGTTATCGATGGATGATGAGTAGGGGCTGTTATTTTGTCAGTCAGTTTGTCGTCGGGTGGAAGAGAACTTTTGGGGCAATCATTCCATAATGACGACTTAGGAACACAATTCAAAGCGCTGTTTGACCAAACCTGGGTGTTTGGACATTTTGGCATGATTATTGGCTGGCCAAAGGAACAAATAAAATATGTGTGACAGTCATCTGGATCTCGGATCCATCTGATTGGTTCCGTAGAAGGACATGGATATATCGCTTCAGGAGACGAAGATACCGATGATAAATAGATTATAAGATAGAATATTGGCAAGAGAGGTAGACAGTGCGCGAAACAGTACACCGGAGACATGCTCAAAAACGTCTGGGATAATTGGTAAAACCTTCCAAAATAATTGGTAATTAATTTTTTTTTAATGATTCGTTGAATGACTGGATTTGTCACGCTTTGGTATCATAAAATAATTGATTGAATTTCTGAAGGAAGAGGTGAGTGAATATTTTCTTGGCGCAGTAATTTTTGTTTGCTTGACCAACCTGTGTTTGATTCTGAAGATATACCAAAACGACGACTGTCCTGCACAAACATAAAAAAGACACTTTAAAAAAAACTTCTAAGTAGGCGTTAGCCTTACCTAACTACAGCGAAACATTATAAAAAGTGTTGAACAATGGTAGTAGTAGGGAAAGATTCTCAAATAGACACAGTGTCTTCAATTACAACTGGGAATGAGTGACAGGTACAAGAGACATGGGCGGGGTGAATATTTTATGAGAAAAGCTTTAAGTGATTGTGGCAGAAGCCGAATAAAATTACTTAGCTGGATAGACATGAAATGAAAAAAATGGTACAAATAAATAATTGCCATACATGAGATGCGAATTAAGTCTATAAATACACAACTTCTTGTACTTTTCTTTCTATGAAATAATTCGACCTCTGAACCGGATTTGTGCTTAAGATAGTCACTTATTTCAAAATGGAGTCATATTTGAAACCAGATACAAAGTCAGTATTTTAAAGCAAACTAGCCGTCTAAACTAGAAAGGTTAACACAAAATCCCATAATTTAGTTCTGTGACGGATTCAGCTTGTAAAGGTTGACAGAAAAGGATTGGTAGATATTTGATGTTTAATAAATGCTTGCTTACTTTGAAAATCAGTATTCTGTACGCTGTTTTTTTATATGGACGCGAACACAGGTCACACTTCTATCTGAACCACGCGTTAGGCTAGGCAAATTACATAAATATCTATTATACTTAAGATCGTATGGTTAAATGCGAAACAGAGGAAATAAGAGACAGGGAGATTGTGCTGCGATAATTTTCGCACGTCTTGAAAATCGAGATTTGTAATCCGGACTGTAATACTGACCACTGATATCGGTGTGAAACAGATAATTATTTCAGCCACGAGGCAAACCAGGTAAGCTCCGTAAATATATGTAATTATACCTGTATTTTGTTTTGGATGGTTTAAATTTCTTGAATTGCTATCAATCTGTTTTTAATCGCTTTATATATTTTAATCTCTTAATATATTTTAACATTCCAGCGTTTCACATTTCATGAGTTAATGATTCATATAGACATCACTTACACACACACACACACACACACACACACACACACACACACACACACACACACACACACACACACACACACATATATATATAGAGCTAGCTAGATAGATAGATAGATAACTAGCTAGCTAGCTAGATAGATAGATAGATAGATAGATATTTATTTATTTTAGGATATTACAACAAAAACATGTAAAAATCCCTTCATAATTTCAGTTGTGTTTTAAAAAACATACTAATCGTTCACTCGCCAGTAATTTACATTCGCCTGAGGAGACGCATTCGTATGCCTTGAAACACAACTGAAATTGTGTAGCGATTTTTATATGTAATATCTTAAAATAAATAATATTACCCTACTCTGTATTTAGCATTCTTTTAAATTATATATTACGAACATTAGAATAGTACTCTATACGTTAAGGTATGCTATATTTATGGGATAAAGTGCTCAATATCAGAGATAGAGCGTATGTATATATAAAAGTGAACATTGAAATCAGGATGCGGACACGAGAACAAATTTTTACTTCGTTACATAAAAATCGAAAAAAATGAAAAGAATAAATAAAAATAAAATAAAAAATAAATAAGCAAAAACAATTAAAATAAATTAATCCAAATAAATAAAGTAAACAAATTAACAAACCACTCCCGCCAAAATAACTCTTAGAATAGACCAGAACAATCAATCAAAAAGCAGTAAACTCTGATTGGGCGAAAAAAATAACTATAATTACCTTCCCAGACCAAAACCAACTACTAAATAAACGATCAGAACTCATCTCAAAATTTTTACTACGTTACTTAAAAATGGAAAACCGAAAAGAATAAATAAAAATATATAAGAAAAAAATGTAAAATAAATTAATCCAAATAAATAAATTAACAAACAACGCCCGGCAAAATAACTGTGAAAATAGACTATCCACAATGCACCACTGACCCGTATATATAAATAGTTGAGAAAAAGCAGAACACATGTGGCCTGATGATTGCGTTTAGCATGAAACAGTCCGTCGCCTCTGAGTGTTGACTTCAATGTCCACTTATATATATATATATATATATATATATATATATATATATATATATATATATCCGTGTTTTTAGGATGTATAAACCGCCTCATTCACTTTGTATTCCATTGATGACAATTAAATTTCACTCAAGCAGCTTCTTCCACAAACCGCTGCTTTGTGAGACTAACTCCCAAGAGGATACTTTTCCGATCACTACAATTTGTTCAAATCTAGGCTCAACCGTTATCTTCTCCACATATCCGCATAATCTGTGCCTCTTACTCTGTACCACTCTACCTCGAATGGCTCTCGGGTTTTATACAGGGTGAAATTCATTGTAAAAAGATGGGCTACGGTAAATGTCCGGTTCAGTACTATAGGTTTGCTTCTTAAGTTGCCTAACCATAACTAGTTGGGCATGTCCCCTAGGGACTGAAGTAATGTACATCACTGTTCATGGTTGGTAGTTGTTGTTGGTGGTGGTGGGGGGGACAACATGGAGGAACGTTTACTTTTATTTATTTTGGAGGATGCGGCCGCCAAGGTGACTTGGGAGTAACATCTAGATACTTGGTAAAACCTTCAGTCAGAGAGCGTCTGGACGGACTGGGTTATATGAGCGGAAAGTATTTTTTTAAACTGGGTCCCATTTGCAAGGTTATGTGTTTCTTTTATCAAAATTGGTCACTATATCACGCAGATTTGGCTGTAATGCATGTGCCTGGTATGCACTTATCAGAATGTGTTTCTTGATGGGTATATTGGGCTTTTAGTATATTTTTACACCGGCAGAATTTTGGGGCGTGCTGCTCCGTCACTCAAATAATAATAATAATAATAATAATAATAATAATAATAATAATAGAAAACAAAAAAGAAGGAGGAGGAGGAGGAGGAGTAGAAGGAGGAATTGGAACCTGCCAACTAATTGATATGATTTGTCCACAAGGTTCCAATGTTTCTACTAATGAATTTCAAAAACTGCCAAATTATCAGTTCCTGCAAATCGAAGTTAAAAAATGGGGAAACTTAAAACTATGATTATCCCTGCTGTGATAGGTGCATTGAGTATGATAAAAAAGTGATGAAAATAACAGTAAAATTCCTAAATAACTCAGCATTTCAGAGTCTATAAAAGATTACTTTGTGAGGAGCTGCATATGTCATCTGCAAAACCCTCTCCATCATTTACATAATTCGGACTATTGTCTTCATCTTTGTCGCCATATTTATTATTTATTTAGTAATAAATATGGCGACAAAGATGAGTACAATAGTCCGAATAATGTAAATAATGTACATAATATCTCAACTCTGAAAAATAGACAGATACTAAAACCCTCTCCATCTGAACGAAATGCCCTAAATGTGCAAAGATAAACTGTCCTACCAATTACCCTTCTTACTTATAGACGAAACTTGGAAATTAGACACTTAAAAATTGTTGCACTCTGAAATGAAAACAACTACAAAAAAACAAAAAAAAAACAAAACAACAACAACAATAATAATAATCAGTATCATAAAAAGAGCGGTTTTTAAGTCACCTTAAGTTTGCGTTTATGCCTATATCTGTGCAGTGTGCGAGTGAATATTTGCATGTGAATTTTAATGTCGACACACGCAAACACACATACACGTACACGCAAACACATATGCACAAACAATTTGATTGAGTTTGAAATATATATTGGAATTCAATAATACATTTAAGTTCCTCTCAGGCTGAGATAAGAAGTGATAATAATAGTGAATTCAATATACAATGAGTGCTCCATACTTTCGGTATTGTGCAACACTTAGTAAATCGCTATCAAAGATTTCCTGTATGTCACATTGTTTGCTTACATGTGTTTATACCTGTGACAAAAGATAAAAATAATCAATAATTTTTTCCTCTGAGATGTTTTCGGAAATATCCTTCTGTTTTTTGCAAAACCTTCGAATTAGCTTAAAAAATAGAAAAAGAAAAAATTACTTCGAAAAGTTATTGTTATGCTCTTTCTTTCTTTCTTTCTTTTATCTATCTCATCCTACTGGCATCTATCTATCTATCTATCTATCTATCTATCTATCTATCTATCTATCTATCTCAGTCTACTGACATCTATCTATCTATCTATCTATCTATCTATCTATCTATCTATCTATCTATCTATCTATCTATCTATCTATGCCTACTGGCATCTATCTATCTAGCTAGCTAGCTAGCCAACTATACCTGGTAGAATTGAGATAGATAGAAAATAAATGTTCACTTTTCACTTCATAAAGGGAATTTAAGATGTGCGTTGCAGTGTAATGATTATCAAATGAGAAATCGGAGATCAGAGTTTGAATTC